TTTTTTGGACCCTGAATATTGAATAAATTTTAAACAATAAACAATTCTTTTATTATTCACCCGCTTGAGTGAAATTCAGCCCAGGCACATGGTGGTGCTCCATCCATTAATTCTGGGTTCATTTATTTACGAGTAAAGATCATCATGGGCGGCATGTACTCCCATACCTGTTTTGTCACAATTCCAGATATTTTTAGCATGTCGCTTGTTTATATCTATCTATCTATCTATCTATCTATCTATCTATCTATCTATCTATCTATATATATATATATATATATATATATATATATATATATATATATATATATATATATATATATATATATATATATATATATATATATATATATATATATATATATATATATATATATATATAAACAATAAATAATTTAAAATATAAAATGTATTCAGCATAAAAAATTATTTTCATAAAAATGTCATATATAACTAGTTTACAATTTATTTAAAAACAATTGTGGTTAAGTGGGGAATACCCTATTATGCCCCATATTTCCTACCCCATTATGCCCCATTGGTGGCATATTGCTAAAAACAGTGCCACATCCAAGAAAAGTTCACACATTACAAAATTCAAAAGTTTTGATAATATCTTGTTTTAAATTAGGTAAATGCATTATAAGCTTCAGTGTATCACATAAAATAATAAAATTGACACAGTTAAATTATATCAAAGTTCATTTTAAGTCATATATACTTAGTCAAGACAAACTTTATTAAAATTTTAAACAAATGCAATCGATGGTGGCATTAGTTTAAAATTTATTCAAAAATCATGTAAAAATTTTTAAAAGAGTCCTAGCTCATAATATGTCCTGACCCCAAATTAGTACTTAGCACTTTAGTACTTTTTTACAAATTTTTTTTTTGAACATCAGAAAGGTCATCAAAAGCCAAATGGGTTATTTTTTGCTCCATTTTTAGGAAAACTTTACCCCATATGCAAGACCCTTTCTCAACCATTTTAAAAAATGAACTATCCAATAACATGGTAATGAGTTTAACTAATTAAGTTTAAGGGACTCTTTTCTTTAATGAACATTCAAGGTATTTGTTTTTTTCAACAAAAAGCAGGTTTTTAGCAGACATTTTCAAAATATTTTAAAAATTTGTGTATAATTTTATATTTGAAAAGATAATTTTTGTTGCTGACCAAAGCTTGTTTTGGATAAACAATATAAAGATTTTAAATATTTTAAATAAAATAAAATTTTTTCATTTTCAAAGTTAAAATATAATTTTATAGGGTTCTTTTACTTAGCATACTTACACATGATAAGGGTTGTTATTTATTTAGTTATTTATATACTTACATAATAGATGCTTATATTTAAATATTTATTTTTAGATTAACATAAAGTAATAAGATTTTATAATATGCCACCCAAAAATTAAAATAATTGATAATACTTTTCTAGTGGGAAAAATAAATTGTACTACTCCCAAAAACCAATTAGTTACTATGAAAGAAATTCTTCAGCGCTATAACTTTTTGAGAAAAACCTGAGTTTTATTGTCAGATATCCAAATAAAAGTAGATCATTCTCATATCAGCTTATCAATCAGCTACATTGCTGCATAGTATCTAAATTTATAGTTCCGTGGGCACAAGATGACTTTGAAGTCATTACAACCCAGAATGTAATAATAGATTAAACTGTTTAACTTTATCACAACACTAAAGTTTTTAAGTTTTTTTAAGCAATTTATAATAATAATTCTATTTCATAGGATCAAGGTCAAAAAAATGGTGATGGACTCAATAAAGCTGAAAAGCTCAATTAAAAGAAATAATTCTGTTGAAGAAAAAAAGAGAAAAAAACTTATAGAAAATATGAAAAAGGTTTTCTGGATTTGAAAAAATCCAAAAGATATGATTAAAAAAATAAGGAAAGGTTGAAAAACCAAAATGACAAAGAGGAAGACATAGCTTTTCTTAAAGACCACTTAGAAGAAAGGAAAAGAAGGTTAGGGGGTTTGGGTGAAAGATTTCAGTACTCACTAAAAAGAAAGTATAAATCTAAATTGAATTATAATAATTTAGACAATATCTGTTACAGATTCTGAGAGTTCATTAAGTTTTCCTAATTTAATAAAAGCAATTCAACTGACAGTGATTTAAAATTGAAACACATCTTGATCCTAATTCTGTCAACCTTTATAAGAATATTTTGCACCGTACTGTTCACAAAGCAGTTGGGGAAGGTTTGTATGCTTAAACTCAGAGAAAATATAAAAAGCATTTCTAAATCTTTAAATTCTCTAACAACAATTCATTTTGAATGAAAAAATGTCAAAGAACTTACTGAAGGAAAAAAGTTTTTAAAAGATAGGTTAGCTGTTCTTGCTGGATTAAAGGACAAACTGAGTTATTTGGAATTCCAGCTACTGACTCAGGTCCTGGAGAACACCAAAAAGAAGCTATGGAAGAACCTTGGATTAGAGGATAATGTTCAGTGTCATTGCTTTGATACCACTAGCACTAACACAGGTAAAACAAAAGGAGCTTGTATCAGAACTATTATGTACTTACAGTGCCCTATGTTGTTGACTGCATGTCAATACCATATTTTTGAGCAACATGTAACTCAACTTTGGTAGATTTATCCAAGCAGTCATACTTTAGGACCAGAGAATAAGTTATTTAAGCTCTTAAAAACCATTGGAGTGTTATAGATCCTGAAAAGCAAGACTTGAAAAGATTTTTAAGTCCTACTGAGTCATTAACAAACAAAGACTGAATGCTATTCAATTTAAATTTTAATTCAAGGTTTTTAAGATATTGAGTAATAAGAGGTTTATAAACTAATTCAATTAATTTATATATTTTCATATTTTCATTTTATAAGCTATTTAAATTATCATTACATTTTTTGAAGCTATTTAAATTATCATAACTTTGTAAAAAAATTGTTTTGAATGGAAAGTTTTACAAAGATTATCAGGAATTAGCTGAATCTTACTTTAATGGTTCTACCACCAATCAATAGATTTAAATTTGCAATTCTGGAGCTGTTCATTGTGCCTTATTTATGAGTAAAAGTATACTTTACCAAAAAATTGTTTTTTCTCATGGAAAAAATCCCTGAAATCAATGAAAAGAGCAGGAATGAAATCACAGAAATGACAAAGTTCCTTTCAATATTTTATACTGGATGATTTCTTATAGCTGAGCTAAATTCAGCTGTTCCAATACAGGTATACAGTCTGAATTAATTGTTTGAAAAAATATATATAATTTTGAAATACATAAAATAGATATATTATATTTTTAAATTAAACATTGATAAATCTAAACTTTAACAATAAAGATATGAAAGCATACTATAGAAAGCATTTAGATGAAAAGATTTGAGGAATGAAATAAAGCTGGGGCTCAATCTGTTTTTAAATTCATACTGTAACACATACTTGCAACATACTTGCAACATACTTGGTACCTTTATCCATATTTAATCATTATAGCGATTGTAGATCAGAAATGTAAAGAACTTGATGACCTGGCTAAGAGACTTACTGATTAAAACAAGCTCTTATAGAGAGATACTGCTTACAAAGACAGGTATTGGATAAAGACACTCTGATGAGCTTAAACTTTTGACAGGATGAGCCTCACAGTTTAGTTACAGTAGTTACAGTGAAGTCATGGCATGTGTTTGACATGCCTGGTCATGGAAAAGCATTTCCTACAGAGCATCGGATTTTAAATGAACTCTATCAAGAATTTGACACAGCCATCATGAATCTTGATGTTGTGAATGATTTTTCAGAAAGAACAGTCAAATTAGTTCAACAACTTGTTTACAAAGTAAATTCAAAAGAGAAACGGCAAGATACATTTAATTTTACTTATGTATACAAGCAAAATGGAAACAATAGAAAAAAGTTGAATCATGCTGAAGTTGCACTCAATAGTATTATTTAATATCTACTCTTTGATCTAATTTATTTTGAAACATTTGCATATTTTTGATTTTTGTTTTATATTGGTACTAAAGTTTTTTTTTTTATTGCATACATAATATATTTATCATTTTGCTTATTTTCAATGTTTTTTTTAGTCTCCTTAAAGTTACTTAAAGAAATATTTATAAAAAGAGCCCCTTAAGCTTGAGTAGCAGAATTCATTACAATATTATTGAATAGTTCATTTTTTAAAATGGTTGTGATTAAAGGGTCCCACATATGGGGTAAAGTTTTCCTAAAAACAGAGCAAAAAATGACCCATTTGCCTTCTACAGAGACCATTTGCCTTCTACAGAGAATATATATATATATATAAAATTTTAAGTACAATTTGGGATCAGAGCAGTTTATGAGCTAGGTCTCTTTTCAAAATTTTGACATAATCTATTTTTGAATAGCCCTAATTTCAATTAGAATTATTCAAAAAAAAAAGTTTTACCAAAACTTCTTTTCAGCACAAAATGTGATATTACTTTTAAAAATAAGACAACTTTTTTAATTTTATTTAAAATCATTTTTTTATCAAGACATGTTTCGACTATATATAGTCATTATCAGTTAAAATAGAAAGCATTCATATAGGATGGGAAAAACCTGATATGAATAAACAAGTAAACTATGTTAAAATGACTCTTATAATTTAATATGATTTACCGGTTTCTTTTGTTATATTTGACATTTGTTAAAATAATTTTTTATAAATCTTTTTGTATATATAGTAAGTTTGTTCACAATATTATGGCTTTTATTATGTTTTTTTTTACAATTATATACTATATTTTATACCATTTTTAACAAATATATTTTAACTGACGATGACTATATATAGTTGAAATATGTCTTGATAAATAAAATGATTATAAATAAAATTAAAAAATTTGTCTTATTTTTAAAAGTAATATATATATATATATATATATATATATATATATATATATATATATATATATATATATATATATATATATATTTCATTTATTTATATTCATTTATTTAAAAATATAACTTACAAATACCAAGCATCTCCAGTTGAAGAGGTAAATAAAGTAAGCATTGCATTTAATATGTTATCAAAGTTGAATGGATATAAAAGCCATTCACGCTTTAATTCCTAATTAAATAAAAATTCATTTTTAAGCATATTAAAGTTAACATCTTAAATTAAAAAGATAATTAATTTTTGTGCATAGTTATGTATTAATTAAAAAATAATATTTTTCATATGTAAATGTTTAATTGAAATTAAAAATACTTTCAAAACTCAGTAAAGTGAAAGTAGTAAACAAGAAAGTAGTTAAAATGAGTTATAAAAAAAAGTTATAGAGAATACATATTTATTCATAATACTACTTTTAACATGTTCTGGTTACTTATTTATATACCTGTTGGTTCTTTGTGTTTTGTCATTTGCAAAATGCATTTTGTCAATTAAAATGGTAGTTAAGTTAGTATTGATAAAAACAAAAAAAAATATTTACAACGAAATTTGTGTTTAAAATTGACTAGACTAGGAGTACTTTATGTAAAAACAACTAAAATGATTAAGAAAATTAAATTTTCATGTTTTTTAAAAAAACCACAAAAACACAATTTATTGATTAGTTTTTTTAATTCAGAACACTTTTAGTTTTATTTTTGACTGTTTCTATTATTTAACTTTATTTGTGTTATTTAATTGTTACTTCAATTTTGTTTTATCAACTGATTTATATAGGGATTAACGCAGTGGAGTGTTACATATACAGTGGAGTGTTACATATGCAGTGGAGTGTTACATATACAGCAGAGTGTTACATATACAGTGGAGTGTTACATATACAGTGGAGTGTTACATATACAGCAAAGTGTTACATATATAGTGGAGTGTTACATATACAGTGGAGTGTTACATATACAGTGGAGTGTTACATATACAGTGGAGTGTTACATATACAGTGGAGTGTTACATATACAGCGGAGTGTTAAATATATCAATAATTTTAAACATTAAAAATTCACTCCCATCAAGGCTGCAAGAAACCATTATTTAAGTAATAAGTAATTAATAAAATAAAGTAGTAAGTAAATAATAATAATAACTAAAAACAGATAAATTGATAATGAGAAAGAAAACATTTGACAGAAGATTTTAAAACTGTAAATTGAGTCAAGAAAACATGAAAACAGGAGAAAGTTCTTAAGCATTGTTAAGTAAGGAAAAAAACTAGACGAATAAAAGTTTTTTTAACATCTTTACTTGCAACAAGGCTGCAAGCAACCACTATTAGAGTTGGAAGTTACTGGAAGAGAAAAGATGGAGTTTATAAAGCAAGAAAATGATTAACAGACAACTTAAAAGATTGCAAATTATATGAATCTAGAAAACAAAATGAATGAGGAAAAAAACTATACAAATAAGAACTTTCAGAACTCTTAGGAACAGTCACAGTAATATGAAGAGACTTAATTGAATGACGAGTAACACAAGAATGAATTTTAGTAAATGACACAAAAGATGCTAGCTCTTTAAAACAGTGTCCATTATAGTATTTACAGAAAAGAGAAGCAACATTACAATGATGTAACAATTGTTAAAGGCTGGCTACATAAGCACGTCTAACTATATTTACAATGCATTTTTGCACCTTACCTAAAAGAGAAAGCTTCATTTAAAGATCAGCTCCAGATACAGCAACAGTACTTCATACAAGGTTGGATTTGAGATTTATAAAGATAAAGAATAGATTCCGGAGTAAGAAAGTGGAGAGTACAATAAAGAGATGCAACCTTAGCAGATACTAACTTTGCAATTGAATTGATATATGGTTTCCAGGAAAGTATTGAAGTAAGAGTAAATCCTACACGACAAAGGGTTGATGACTCATAGAGTACATTACCGTTCATAAATATAGGAAGATCTAGATTGTTGTAATAACAATTAGCTAAAAAAGTTGAGTTTATATGAGTTAAAATTCTGAAATTCTGAGAGACTGTTAATGTAAATTAAAAAAAGTATAGGTCCAGGGATAGAACCTTGAGGAACCCTCAAAGTTACAGGAAATAAAGAGTGCTGTCCTTGAGGACAACTTTTGCACTATGATTGGTAAGAAAGGATTCAATAATCTTAAAGATGTTACCAGATACATCGCAAGAAGAAAGCTTATTGAAAAGACCAGCATACTAACCTTTATCTTATTTTATAAAAGTTTTAGAAATGTTTAATCTTCAATCTCTTGTTTATGTCTTGTTTATGAACATTTGTTTAACCTCTTCACACCTACCAAATGCAAAAAAAAACCTATCAGTTGTTATTGGGTGGACACTGAAAAATCCAGTCAATTTTAAATCAAGATTTCTCTAAAACCACAAATGGTTTTTATTTCTTTTATTTTTTTAATTAGGTGTTACTTCCTTATCTTTAATTGTGTTGATAAACTTTTGTTTACAAATCAATGATTTGCAAAATGTTGCAAAAACAAGTTGAGGTAGGTAAAAAAAGTTGTGAATTTTTTTTTGCAAAATCCATAGATTTCATATCACTTGATTACTAAACGTACAAATGTCCAAAATTTACAGAAGTTTAAAACTACTCAAAGCTTTGAAAGAAAAACTAGAAGTGGAAGAAAGAAAACTTTACATAAATCCAAAAAGGTAAAGTCAATTCTCAGTTCAAAAGCAAAAAGGAGATCTAGCAACAAAATTCAAGACTTTGTGTGCTTATATCAAAAAAGTAATTAAAAATGCTGGAATTAAAGAATTTCATAAGAAAATACGCCTAAGAGAAGCTTAAATGGTGAAATTAAAAGAATTTGACAAGGAAGAAGTTGGTTAAAAAACTGGTTGATAAAAGTATGTGCATAATTGGAGACAGCAAAACATATTGCAAGGCAGATTTTAAACAACTTCCTGGTCATCAATTTTATTTTTAGAAAAAAGATAAACCTATTGATGATATATTTAAATATACTTGACAAGAAAAATTTAGTATGTAATTTTTAACTGTGGTATGCTGTCCTTTTGTTTTCTCACTAAGAAGACCTTGACGCCAATCTTTATATCAAAGAACACCCCCAAAAAATAATTTTGGTATTTTATGACAAAAAGCAAAATTCAATTTTCTTTTAGTCCAATCTAAAAAATCTTCTTCTAAAAAAGTTTGTCGTTTAAATATACTGTGGTTTAAAGATAATAATGTGAAAATTGTTTCTAAAGATGCAAATTCTCCAAATCATCCTGAAGAGTGCAAGATTGAAGATTTTTAAGGCAATAGCTAATGGAAGTAACAAAAAAAAAAGGGAAAATAAACACATGAATATAGATAAAAATTAGTATATACATATATATATATATATATATATATATATATATATATATATATATATATATATATATATATATATATATTTATATATATATATATATATATATATTTATATATATATATATATATATATATATATATATATATATATATATATATATAAGCCATAATGATTATATATATATAAGCCATAATGATTATCAGAAAGTAAGTTATTAGATTCAAGATAAAAGATTTGTTAATTAAAGACTCAAAAACCATGATAAAGAGAAGCAATTTATATAAAAAAAAAAAATTGTATTAATTGTAATTAAATTTTGCTTTTTTGTATTTTATGACAAAAAAGCAAAATTTAATTAAAGTATGTTAATTAAAGTATGTTAATTAAAAACTCAAAAACCATGATAAAGAGAAGCAATTTATATAAAAAAAAAAAATTGTTTATACATGTTTATAAGACCAAAAATGGTTATATTAATTTTATATTAAAACAGAGTAGTAAGACAATCTTTGTTATTAGAGAAAAGACAACTGAATAACAAAAACAATGTTTGTTATTCAACAAAAATTAATATCAATAAAAAGTAAAAAGAACCTTTGGTTGGTTATAGCTGCTTTCAAATTGAACATAATTTCCCCTGTCAAAGTAAAAAAAAACTTTATTAATCTTATTAAAACTAAAAAACACTTGTTTAAAAATGACGAAAAATTCAATCATTGTTAAAAAGCACTTATGAAATCATTAACAATTTAATCAACACTAAAGAAGTTTATGAAATCATTGCAAATTTAATAGGCTAAAAATGAAAATAATTTATTCAAATTTGGCAGCCTTCAGTAACATTTTTATCTTTCTTTTTTTTTTGCAATAATTTAATTATATGTAAAAAAATGTTTTTCTGAAGACAAGTAAAATGTTGAAAATATTTAGTTTTTGTTTGCTCAAATTTAAATTTTTTAAATATACTTTTATGTATTTTACATTATGTAGATTGTATTGGGGGATATAAGGCTACTTGGTAAAGGCAACCAGACTTTTGAACTTTTTTTATACAATAAAAAAATTAAACTTTCAAAAAAGTTAAAAAATAGAAAATTTATGTAACTTCATCTTTTGTTGCATTAAAAAAACTTTATATTTATTACTACATAACGAAACATAATGAATAAGAAATATGTTACCCAGATATTCTAAGAAAAATATTTATTGATGAATTATTAACTATATTAAAGTTTTTAAAAAAGTAGACAAACTATTAAAATATTCTCTAGAATACTAAAATTCAACCTGTGTAAGCCTATTAATGTAAGCTATTAATGTAAGCTATTAATGTAAGCCTATTAATGTAAGCTATTAATGTAAGCCTATTAATGTAAGCCTATTAATGATAAATAAGATCCTGTAAGATCCTATTAAACCATCTTAAGTAAAAAAATTTTTGCATGATTTTGTTCCTATTTTGCACATGTTTTGATGACCTATATATGTGGCAAAAGCTCTAATTCCTTAAGTTTGTTTTGGTCTCAGACATTCGTTTTCTTCTTGAATCTCTCAATCTTTTCCTTGTGCCAATAGAATTTTGTCCACACTTTTTTTGCTTCTTACAGAAAATGCCTCTCTACAAAGTATAAACTAAAGTTTAAGCTATAAATAAAAAATAACCATAATAACACTTTTATAACATAGTCTATGAAGTATTTAACCAAATAAACACTTCATCAACTATAAACACTGATAGCTACATAAACATAAACTTCATAAATTATGAGCAGTTGGTAGCTATATTAATCAAGGCTAAAATATAAACATATCAAAATTTTATTTTAAGTTTCTATAACAGCTATATATTAACAGTAAATTAAATTAATTACATTTTAAAACATCAATTTTATTTTTTATGTAGCAGCAATTTAAATTCAATTTAAAATGGAGAAAAAAACTTTAAGAATTCAACATATTCAAACAATGATATTTAAACAAAGAAATATTTTCTCTCATAGCAAGTTATTGATTTTTTTTTAAGTTTTGTGGATATTCTTTCATTCAGCTTTCACCTTACCATATGAAGCATATATTTTTTAATTTAATCAATATAGTATTTGGCATTTATGATGCCCTGGGTGAGATTTTAGTTACTACATGTAACTACATTTTACTACATGTAACTACATGTATATATATATATATATATATATATATATATATATATATATATATATATATATATATATATATATATATATATATATATATACATTCATATATTTTTTTTACATATATATATATTTTTTATTTTTCCTTTTTTCTAGTTTTTATAGATGAAACAATGTGATGACACAATATGACAAAATATGAAACCATATTGCAATTGGCTCACAACTTTTAATTCTATTTCAGACAGAACAGAATTGAAATAAAAAAGTTAATAAATAAAGATCTTTAAAAATTTGAAAACTTACCTGCAGTCATCTTTTTTGTCTATTGACTTATCGGTACAATAATAAAAAGTACCCTTAAAAATAAAAGAAAAAAAAACATTGAAAAGGCAGTAACATCATAAATAATATTTAACTATCACAGTCGTAAAAATGAAAGGCATGCATAAAGCTTACCTCTATTCTATCTTATTTTATAGTTTCAGGTATGATGCAAAAACAGCACTTGAATAAGTGCTGTTTTTGCATTAATATAACATAATAATACACTCAAAAAATTATAAAAATATTTGAGATACTCGATGTAGTTACAGCAATTTTAAAATATTACAGAGTCTGTATGATACTTTGCTGACCGTGATATTTTTCCATTAAATGATTAGATTTCTGAATTATGACAAGATGAAAAAAATAAAATGATAATTTTGCAGTAACATAAATTAAAAATGTTTGTGGCAAAAATCCAGACCAGAGATTCATTTTTTTTTAACCTCCTGAAAATCACAATTGCTTGTCCAGATTTGAATAAGAATTTAAATAAATGCATAGTTTAGGTGAAATGAATATCATAGTTAAACAACATGATTTATTGGCAGTTTTTTTTAATTATAAACTCTTTCTTAGTCATTAAGACAAAAGGTAGAAAAACTGACTATTCACTTTATATTAGCAAAATAAATATTCAAGGGGTGATTTTTTAACTTCCATTTTTTCTTCTTCTTATCTTTTATTTTTTTTATTTTTTGATTTTTTTTTTAAGTATAAGAATATGAATATCTTGTTATAAAAATGTTTACAAAAAAAAAAAAAAAAAAAAAAAAACTGAGGGTAAAAAATTTAAATTTAAACTTTGAAAAAATTTTTATAATTGAAAAATCATTAGGGGATTATAGACATTATTTACAATAATGATTTCATTTCTGCGTAGTATTATAAATGTTTTTTATATTTAACAAAAAAAGTTTTCCAATCGGAAATCATCACAAGGTAGCCATTGTCTTGGTTTAGAATCTTTTTTTGAAGTAAAAACATTGCAATCTGTCTATTTCATTAGCCTAGTCATTTAGGATTACCAAAAGTGTTTTTGGAATTATTCCAATTATTTGTAACTTTGCAATGTTGTGCAAAGGTACAAATTTAGGAACCCACAGAAGTATTATGATGTTTTTTGTTTTAATTTGTTTACAGTTTTTTCATTGAGATGATTTTTAATTTTTAACAATGTTTAGAAGTTATTTCCAAAATTATCCATTTTCTTTAAAAATATTAATGAGGAACTCAATATATTTTTCTATATAATCACTAGAACATACTTTATAAGCTCTTGCAAGAAAACCTTTAAACATTGATATATCTTGCAAGAAAATCGTTAAATATATATATATATATATATATATATATATATATATATATATATATATATATATATATATATATATACATATATATATATATATATATATATATATATATATATATATATATATATATATATATATATATATATATACATATATATATATATACATATATATATATATATATATATATGCAATATATGGTGATATAAACGATTGCGGTTTTACAAGTGCATTTGTTATTACATTCTTGTGGTAACGGGTAAGCAGAAATTAGCTACACAAAAATCAAAACCTTGTTTTTTTTAAGAAATAAAAGCAAAATTTTTTTATAAATTTTTTTCAAGTTAATACAATATTTATTTTAACAAAATTATTTTTTATGAACCGATAGCACTCCATTGTCTGTTATTAATCTCAGTTTTATCTTGATACCCTTCATAAATGATTGTAATAAATGTTGCATCAATTTTTTTCAAACACGCATTGATACACCCAATCAATTGTTGTGAACTTTTGACCTCCCATCCACCTTAATACACATTCTGAGCCAATACTCCCCAAAAGTCTTCCATTCTAGGCTTTGTGGACATTATGACAATTTATATAGACCAGCATGAAATTGATATTTTCATTCATCCAGGAAATGACCTCTTTAGATCAATGAGCACTAGCTAAATCTGACCAAAAACCGTAATTTAGGTCTTGATGATACTTATCAATGAATGGTATAAGTCGTTCCTCTAACCATTCTTTGATATAAATACTTGATTTTATTGCAGCCAATGCTGTTGACAGAAAGAGTGGTTTAGACATTCCACGCTCAGTTCTATCTAAACAAGAATTTTTTTTGGAAATTTTTCTTTTCTGGCAAAATAAACATTATCTGGTCAAATGTCTTTGTTGTCCGTGTCATATCTGGCGTTTCCAGGCATTTCATTGTTGCCAAAAAAGTATTACTTTTTGACGTTTAAAATTAAAACACTCTGTTCTTTATAGAGGTAGTTTACGAGTTTTCAGCTTCTTTTTTGTGACCTTAGATGCTGTCCATTATTGTACTTGGGTATTTTTTCACGTTTACGCTACTTAATGTTAATTTTGGCCAATTGAATACAAATTGTCTTTTAATTGATGTTGAATTTATGTGCGAGTTTTCTTTGACTTACACCTTTTCGATTGTTGGTCAACCTATAAAGTTTTGCTTATTTTTCTTGAGTCCACGATGATGAGCATCCAGAATATTTTGTAACTTTTAAACACTGTCCTGTAAGATGTCGATTGATATAATTATATGCTGTTTTGCAACAGATTCCTTCTTTAATTAGCAGCTTGGTTAGCAGCTTTAGCTTTGGTTAACAGCTTTGGTTAGCAGCTTTGGTTAGCAGCTTCAGTTTTGGTAGCTTTTGGATTTTTTACAAAATAATTTTTGACATTATTTTGAAGAACTGCTCTTTCTTTTCTGTTTAACATTTTTTTTGAATAATTTTTTTTTTAAATAAAACTAGAATATTTAAAAATATAAACTACATTTGAATGCTAAATATAATATTATGGATTTCAAGCAAAACTTAACAAAAGTTAACTTTTGTGTAACCAATTTCTCCTCATCCGTTATATAGAAGAAATTATATTTATGAGTAATATAACTATTTGAAAGGCAAGATGTTGTCTGCGAAATGGAAAAAACGAACTTGAATTATTCTGTCAAGAACATTCCAATCCCACCAATTAAAGAATACAAAAAACAATTAATCAGCAAAACCGATGCATCTTTTTCCACATCTTATGTATTATAAGGCATTAGTTTTTGACATTATTTTTAATTCCTCCCATAAAAATAAGATAGGAGAGAATGCTTGTGATTGGGGAAGCTAAATCATTCTATTCAATATTTGTTTATTCTCAAACTCAGTCAAATAATTTATACAATGTTCAGAAGAATATATTTTAGATTTAAGCTTCAAGTCATTTTATTTTAAAAAAATAAATGGCTTCCCATTAATCTAACTTTCCAAAGTTATAGCATGACTTTTTAATTGTCTAAGTAAACCACTTTTGTTATTATTCTGTCTATTTTTACTATGTCACATTCCAACCAAAACAACCCCACTCCTTGACACTACATCCACTATGGTTTACAGTCAAAAATACACACTATTTTATCATGCATTCAATGATTTTATTTTGAGAAAAACAATCTTCTCTTAAAACCAAAGATTTCAAACTTTGACACATTGGTCCACGTTTACAGACATTGATGGTTGATTTTTTATGTAGTTTTGCCCACTTTAGACATTGATGGTTGATTTTTTATGTAGTTTTGCCCACTTTAGACATTGATGGTTGATTTTTTATGTAGTTTTGCCCACTTTAGACATTGATGGTTGATTTTTTATGTAGTTTTGCCCACTTTAGACATTGATGGTTGATTTTTTATGTAGTTTTGCCCACTTTAGACATTGATGGTTGATTTTTTATGTAGTTTTGCCCACTTTAGACATTGATGGTTGATTTTTTATGTAGTTTTGCCCACTTTAGACATTGATGGTTGATTTTTTATGTAGTTTTGCCCACTTTAGACATTGATGGTTGATTTTGCCCACTTTAACATTTTTATTATTATGATTTTTATCATAGCATTTTCATCAACTTTTATGTTTTTTAAATTATCTAATAGAGCAAAAATAAACATAAAAAATAGGTAAATAAATAATAGCATTTTAAAAAAAAAGGTAATGTCATTCGAATAATTATGAACAGTAATGTATATATAATCCATAAGCTTGCTGTTATTATAATATAAATAATTATTACCGAAAAAATTTGAACACCCATTATTGAGTATATGAGTAAGATATGAATGGATAGTATTATCACCAAAAATACATTCTTTAATGAGTAGAACATGCACATAAACACAGCCTACATAAAATAATGTTTAATAAAATTCACATTAATAGAAAAACAAAGAAAAAAGTTTTTTGTTAACAAAAAAACTGTTATATTACAAATAACAATAAATATAAATGCACCTTCAATTTTGGCAGCTTGTTTATTAACTTTAAAGGTCTTAACACACGAATAATTTGAAAAACTCGAACAAGTACAAATTTCATACCTAGACTAAAATAAATATTATTTATTAAATAGTATTCAACAGTATTTAATATTAATAACTATATCTATCATAAACAGTTCATAATAACTTAATAAAACAAACTATCTTTTTTCTTAATAAAATTTATTACACCCTGTCAAATTAACAATCAACCTCATCTAAAAGAACCACAACAATTTTTCTATGAAATCATTACATAGACCTCATTTAGAGCTGTTTTTAAAATTATTAAATTTTTTCTGACCCAAATATATACAATTTAAACAACCTCATCCCTAATTTTTTTTATTTTTTTTTATTTGCATTCACTCCCAACAAGGCTGCAAGCAACCACTATTAAGTTGGGAGTTACTAGGAAAAAAAAGAACAGAGTTATATAGCAAGGAAACAGTTGACAAAAGACTTGAAAAGTTGAAAGTTGTATGAGTCAGGAAAACATGAAGATGGAAAAGAGTTCCAAAGGATTGAAGTGCGGGGAAAAAAACTAGATGAATAAAAGTTTTTAGAGCATGCAGGGACATATCAACTCGTTTCTCTGCGCAGCGGCCTTGCACATCAAGGTTTGTATTTCGGAGTTATAGAGTTGAGAGAGGGTTATTGCCACAATAAAGTAGCCTCCTCGTCTGTAGTGGCCTTCTCGGCCTTGAGGAGGTGAATAAAAAAAAAAAAAAAAAAGATACAGTAAACGAATGACATTTAGCTGAATGACAAGTAAAACAAGAATCAATTTTAGTTGTTGGAACCTAGAGATGATAACTCCTTTAAGCAGTGACCATGATAGTATTTGTAGAAAAGAGAAAGAGATGCAACTTTACAATGATGGGAAAGAGGCTCAAGCCTAGCAGATAGTCCAGGTCCAACAACATTTACAATGTGTTTTTGGACCTTGTTAAGAAGAGAAAGTGAATCGTTAGAAGAACCAGCTTAAATATGACAACAGTATTCCATACAGGGACGAATAAGAGATTTGTAGAGATAGAGAATGGAATCAGAAGTAAAGAAATGGTGAGCACGATAAAGAGAAGCAACCTTAGCAGAAGCCAATTTAGCAATCGATTGTATATATGGTTTCCATGAAAGGTCAGTAGTAAGCGATAATCCAAGAAGATGCAAAGAGGAGGTTTCAGTAAGAGGATTGCCATTCATTTATATAGGAATGTTGACCATATTATGGTAGTTGTTTGCAGTAAACAACTGGGTTTTGTTAGAGTTGAAATTCACAAGCCACTGTGAACCCCAATCTATTACTGAAGTGAGATCGGATTCAAGATCAGCTGCTTGTTCTAGGCGATCGAAAAGAGAAGATTTTTTGTCAAGACAGGACTATAAAGTTGAGTCATCAGCAAAAAGAGCTACTTTAGATAAAAGGTTTTCAGGAAGATCGTTTATGTAGATAAGAAACAAAACAGGGCACAGGATGGAACCTTGAAGAACCTTGAAAGAATGTCCATAACCTTGAAAAACCTTGAAAGAAGAACCTTGAAGAACCTTGAAGAACCTTGAAAGAATGTCCATAAGATTCAAGAGTGGAATTAGAAAAGTTCTTTGCAAATAGTTCTGCCATATCCTTGGGAGAGGTAATAAGATCAGTCCCATGAATGAGAAATAGAATGTTAGATCTACCCTTGTTAATAATGCTGTTAAAGATTTTCCAAAAGTCTTTAGAGCCTAACTTCTGTGATAAGATGCGAGATTTAGTGAACTGAGAATAATGGAGTTTAGCATCAGAAAGCACCTTTTTACATCGATTTCTTGCAATAATAAATAGCTGTTTTTTCTCAAGAGAATTGTTCTTTTGAAAAAGATGAAAAAAATGATTACGATTGGATATAGCAGCCGCACAAGAAAGAGAAAACCATGGAGTAGAATGAGGCTTGACTTGAAACCTGTCAGCTGAGAGAGAAAAAACATCAGCCCAAGGACCATCAGGAAGAAAATCACAAAAAGAATCCCAGTCAGCTTTAGGGTAGTAGTAGGTGGTGCGATAATAAGGTGAGCCCAAAAAAGAAGTATGAGAAAAAAGATTTATAGAGATCATTGCATGATCAGAACCACATAAGGGAGAAAAGGGAGAAACTGAACATAAGCTAGGGTCAGAGACAAGACATAAGTCAAGGAGTGAAGGTAAATGATTAGGCTTGTCAGGAAAACGAGTCACAAAGTTAACTATCTGAGTAAGAGATTGAGAAATGCAGAAGTTAAAGGCTTTAGTGCCAGCAGGATCAGTAGAGTTAGAGCCAAGCCATTCAGTGTGATGGGCGTTAAAATCACCAACAACAACAATATTGGCAGAGGGGTAAAGAGAGAGGGCATGGTCAATTTGATCAAAGATAACATCTAAAAGAGTGCAATCATGGGAAGAAGGAGAACGATAAAGAACAAAGAGAAAGGTGATAGAGTGAAGAGGTGCTAGGCAAAAGCACATAAAAGAATGGTCAAAGGATTCGAACCTGATTTTACGACAAATAGGAGTTTAATGCGTATGTATACCCCTAAACCTAGCATGTGACTATTGGAGTCTTTACGAATCAAAGGATAGTACCTATCAACACTGACATCTGAAGAAGGAATTGCAGAATTTAAATTTGTTTCACTGAGTGCATACAAGTTTGGTGAATTTTGCAGGAGGTAAGACTCAACTGACGGAAAGTTGCTTCGCAGACCGCGAATATTTGTAAAAGATATATTTAGGTGGTGGGGATGGTTTTTTAGGTTTAAATTTTTTGGTTACTTTGTTCATGATTTAGGTTTAATGAGAACTTGACTCATTCATAGATAGAGCACAGCCGCCTAATCAATGAGCTATGGAGTTCTCTCAGTCATGTTAATTAACCAAGAGCCCCAAGGCAGGGGATATTTAGCTGGATGTAGTTAACATCTGCCCAAGATGAGTGTTCTTATCGAGACACCATCTCTAGCCTTTACTCAACCAAGTGACCCAAGGCAGGGGAAATTTTAGTTGGAGTTTATTTCTCCTAGCCTTTGCCTAAGAAGAGCACACTCTGCAAGGCAGCAGGCTTGTGTAAGTGATGAGTAAACATTTGAAATAAATTAAACAATAATCAAATTATATATATATCAAATCAATAATCAAATTAATAATCTAAAGGTTTTCGGTTTGATTATTATTTAATTTATTTCTTGATTATTGTTTAATTTATTTCAAATGTTTACTCATCACTTACACAAGCCTGCTGCCTTGCAGAGTGTGCTCTTCTTAGGCAAAGGCTAGGAGAAATAAACTCCAACTAAAATCACTTACACAATTGATTATTTGATTATTGTTTAATTTGATAATTAGTTTGATATATCTAATGGCTTGTAAAATTAAAGAGTAATAAACTAAACTAATTAAGGGGTAATAAACTAAACACACCTTACCTCTTCAAAACGCTAAACCTTTTTTTGATAAAATTTGAATTCTATCAATAAATTTTGATTTGATTTAAGAATTCACAAAAACTAAGCGTTCATGGGGAAGAAAAACTTTTTTTTGTGCGTGTGCTTGAAATAACTTCTGGGCATTTTTTAGATTTCAAATATTTTTACTTATATTAGTACCAATTAATGTTTTATTAAGAAAAGTTATTGAAGTTAGAAATAAAAAAATACTTCTATAGATTTCCTCAATTCCTAAATTTATCTATGGGTATGAGGGGAATAAGAGCTTTTAAAAAGTTTTTGTGCATTTTTATATCAAATTAAAAAAACAAAAGGTCTATATAATGCTTTCATAGAAAGATCTTTTTGGTTCTTTTAGATGAGGCTCCGTGTGAATTTGACAGAGTGTGTTTTAAAAACAAAAAAATTAGTATAAAATTAAATTATTCACTAATCTAATACAACTAAAGCCAATCCACACGCAACTACCAATAAATCAATACAATTCCAAATATCTCGACAATATGAACCAGGGTGTAAAGCAAAACCATAATTAATTATCTAATTAAAAAAAAAACTTTTTTACTGTAAAACTTGTCTTCAAAAGATGTTAAAAAGTAAAAAAATAAAAGTAATTAATAAGTTTTAATTACATGTTTCTTTGATTTATATAATGCAGTAGTGCGATTTTTGATTTATATATGCGGTAGTGCGACTTTGATTTATATAATGCGGTTTTTTTGATTTATATAATGTGGTAGTTTGATTTATATAATGCGGTAGTGGTGTAGTGGTAGAGCGCTCGCTTCATTAACGAGTGGTTCTGAGTTCGATTCCCACCTTGTCCCTGGTAGTACCGCGCTCAACTCGTTTCTCCGCGCAGCAGCCTTGTTTATCAAGGTTCGTGTTTTGGAGTTATAGAGTTGAGAGAGGGTTATAACCACAAATAAGTAGCCTCCTCGTCTGTAGTGGCCTTCTTGGCCTTGAGGAGGTGAATTAATTAAAAAAAAAAAAAAATGTTTTGTATCAATTTATCAATTTCAATATATAACTATTTTACATAGTTTTTTTGTATTGAAAAAACTCAATTTAGCTTAGAAACTGGTCAAACGAGAGTAACTTATGCCAAGAATGAATAAGGTCTAATTTGAGATGCCAGGAATGAATAAGATCTAATTGCTGAATAAGGTCTTTTTGAAAAATCAGTTTCTAGGAATATAGCTTGAAAGAGATATATAATCCTAATTGGAAATAAAAAATTATAAAATCTTACCTCTAACACCTAAATGTGACTGCAAGCTTAGATTTTTATTTTGTCAAAATAAATTGCAAGAAGCATGCTTGCTGAAATTTTTGATCATAAGTTATAGGTTTGAATCGCAGCATATTTAGAGTGCTGCAATTTAAACTTATATAACCTATAAACCTTTAAATTTCAGCAAACAAGCTTCTTGCAATTTAGTTAGACAAAATAAAAATCTAAGTTTGCAGTCACATTTAGGTGCTACTGGGGTGCGCAGGTTATCGCAGAAAAATAAAAATATTTATATCTCAAAAATGGCTTTTATTTTCAAAGTAAAACTTTTCACAATATCAAATCACATATATTTTTACTCAAAAACACTAATGAATTTCAAAGTAGCCTCCTTTGGCATCAATGACACTCTTCAAACGCTCTGGAACTGACTCACAGCATCGTCGCACCATGTCCAGACTAAGATTCTTCCAGATCTTCTTCAATTCGTTTCGGAGGGCTGCCAAATTTGGATATGTTTTGGCTGCCTTCTTAGTTTCCATGACACTCCATATAGCAAAATCCATAGGATTAATGTCTGGGCTTGAAGGGGGCCACATATCTGGGGTCTAAAGGTGCGGAACATTTTCTTTCAAGAAGCTGACAGTTTTCTTTGCACTGTGTGCTGGTGCACTATCCTGCATAAAGGCCCATGGATCGTCCCCAAACTTCTTTTTGGCCCAAGGAATGAGGTTAGCTTTGATGAAGTCGACATAGGTCACCTGGTTGACTTTTACACCTTCAGGAACAAAAACAAGGGGAGTTTTGACCCATCAGAGCACACACCTGCCCAAACCATGACGCCCACAGGGTGCTGTCTCTTTGGAATAGTCCTCAGTTCCAAAGGAACTGTTCTTCTGGACTTACCAAGAACTCTGTCATTGTATCTGTTGGGTTCTGGTTCAACTGTGAAAATGTTTCACAGTTGAAAATCACTGTAAACGATACGGACATCTTTGTGGTCTTTGAACCAATTTAGTAACTCTTTTGATCTTTTGCGTCTTTTGGCTCTAGTTGCCTCACTCAGAAGTTGTCTTTTTGACTTGACAAGGCTCTTCATACCCAGATCATCGTGAACAACACGTTGCATAGTCCTTCGAGACACACCTGCTTCTCTAGCTAAGGATGAAATTGACCTGTTTGGGTTTCGTTGTACTTTGCAGTCGATCGAATTTCGAAGTTCTTTAGTTCTCACATAACAATTTGGGCCTGTTTTTTTTCTTTTGTAATTTTTTCCAGTTTCTAAGTCTTTTAAGAGTCTGTAGACGTTGGAATTATGAAGCTGTCCCTTCACAGCTTTGCAAATTTCAACTTTTTTCACACCACGTTTCCATAGATCAAAAACAAGTTTTCTTGCATTTTCATTTTGCGTGCTGTCAAATCGTGCCATTTTTTACAACTAAATTAGTGAAAAACGGCATTTTTTAAGGATTAACTTGTTGAACTGTGTTGCATTTTCCCGCCAAAAATGTTTTTCACTGTATATCATATTTTTTGCCGCGAAATTTTTGTTTTCATTTTTTTCTGCGATAACCTGCGCACCCCTGTAAAGGTAAGATTTTATAATTTTTTATTAGAGCTTTTCATTTAGTATAAAATTAATTTATTTAGTTCTGCTTATTAAAAAATTTCATAGAAATACCAAAAATAAAAATTCATTGTATAATTATCATATGTAATTATCATTGTGTGAAAACATTTATTTTTACACTATTAAAAAAATAATTTTTTTTAATAGTGTAAAAACAAATGTTTTCAACCAGTTCCACAATTCTGATTTAATAAAAAATTATACTGTAAAGTTAGTAAATGTGATCTCAAAATGCTACATTATCAAAATTACAAACTATGGGACTAAGGTTTTAAAAAAACATGACTTAAAAAATATTGTTATTATTAACTATAACTAAATGCTTTCTAACCTTTATAACAGCTTCTAAAAGAAATATACCAAGGAAGATATAATCTGCATATTTTAACACCTAAAAGTTAATATTATATAATATATATATATATATATATATATATATATATATATATATATATATATATATATATATATATATATATATATATATATATATATATGTATGTGTGTATGTGTGTGTGTATGTGTATGTGTGTGTGTGTGTGTGTGTGTGTGTGTGTGTGTGTGTGTGTGTGTGTGGTGTGTGTGTGTTATTTACTTATTTGAGTCATTTAAATTAAAAAATCTTAGGTATGTCAAAGTTTTTACTTCTTATGTTGCCTTATTTTCATTAGCTTGAATTTTTAAAATGCTGCAAAGTATTTACATTTAAATCTTTTTAAAAGTTTTTGAGATAAAAACTGCTACCACCATTTAGGAGGGAGAGGGGTCCAGATATGTGTGATTGATTGTGATAGGAGGGAAGGGGTTAAGAATTGACAAATATAGGGTGACGTGCTTTATGGATGACCCCGCTTAACTGCAAAGGACTTTTTACTAAACTCTCCTAATATAAAAAGTTTCAGTTAGAACCTTGTCAAACCAACGCAACAAAATAAGAATCAGTTAATGATTTTTTCTCAACTCATTTTCTTAACAAAAAAGTGTTAGAACTTTAGTAAATGCAGTAGTTTTAACTTACGTTACACAAGCTTGAAATAAAAATGTGCTTCAACCAAGCATTTTTATTCAAAACTTTAAATGGAAAAACGTAACACTTAATACTCTTTGTTAATTTGTTATTAAAAAACTTAATTTTTTAAACTAAATTTTTGAAAAAATATAACTTTATCATGCTTTTATTAACTCAGGTTTCATTAAAATTGCAAAAGTTCTTTCGTTATTTTCTTGAAATATAAATTTTATAAAGTATAAAATCTGACAAACAACAATTTAAACATGTTAGCTCCATTTTCACGCTAAATTAATTCTGATTATGCAAATAAATTCATGGCAAAACACTAGAGATCATTATCTTTACTGGTTAATTTAACTAATTAACTGGCATTTCAAAGTTTTAAGTTTTTTCTTTTTTTTTCAAAAAATTAAATGAAAAAGTCAGTTTTATAGAAAACAAATCTCCTAAATTTTTAATACTTAATCAAATATCTCAAAAACCGGAGATTTGATAACACTAAACTATACATTTGCAATATACATAATATGTATGTTTTAAAATTATTATTGCCTTTAATCTGGTATTCCATATATTTTTAATAATTACCTGGTTTTTGAGTTTTTTGTTGTTAAAAAAAACTACATTTACTCATTCTTTAGGCATAATGCACAAATAATTTTATTCAAATTTCTAATAAGACTGAAAAAATTAACGCTCAAATTTTTTTCCATTTTTATAAACAAAGGATTAACAATGCAATTTTCATTAACTTTGAAGCACGTTTTTTTGTCCTATCTCACTATGCAATTTTGCATGTCATTCGACTTTTGCTTATTGTTTGGTAACTTACCCAGAGTCTTTTAAAACATTCTTCCTAGTTCTGCAACTGATTTGTTTTTCTTGATAGCTTTTCTCTAAATGTTGTTCTCAGTTGTTTTTTGTTTGTCTCTATACTTTTTTTATGCTCAATTAGCTCCCAAGTTCCTAAACTAGCTACCAAGCTCCTAATGGCTTATGAATAGTCAGTGTCAAAGTAACCGAGGCTATTTCTTGTAGAAGAAGAATGTCTCCTTTTTTATGTCTTTATTTTTTTAGGTTAATTTTCAAACTAGATTACATAACACGAATAATAGTAGACTACAAAAGACCGTATCACTCGGTCTTTTGTAACTTTAAAAGAGTTTATAAGTATCAGAGAAATAATAGATTGTCATGATTATATTATTGGTATTAACATTGTGTAGCTGATTAAACAATTTATGTCCTCTGCTGCAATTATAACCAAACTTGATTTCAAAAACCTAGAATGTTGGTTTAGATTTAGCCAACTTCAAGCTTAAGAATTTATGATTATTGTGATTTTGGTAGACTCTATAAAAAAATTATTTAAAAACTACTAAAAAAAAAAAATACTTATTAAAAATTATATTTAAACAAATTATATTTAAATATAATTTAATTATTAGAGATGTAACATATAAAATTAACATGTAATATTCAAATGTAAAAATCCACTTATATTTTATGTACAAATATAAGTGGATTATATAAGTGAACTCCAATACATAGTTGAGGTACGGAAATGGTTCTCAAATGAATGAATTTTTTAAAATCTTAAGCTTCTTTAGAAATTTGGGTAAGATCATATTGTTAGCTTTTAGCATTTTCCTCAGCTTTCTGTATGCTGATCCACCCAACAATTAATCACAGCAGATTGCTATAATAAAGTTTCAACCTTTCATTAAGATTTTATTTTTCTGTTTATTTGTTATGAAAAAAAAAGTTAAAATTTTTCTAAATTGGAAAAAAAATGCAAACTTAAAAATATTATCATAAACAATTTTCAACAGTGTATAATGTATTTGGGTACTAAATTTGACAGCTCTCAAATTTAGTATAAGTTTAAATAATTTAAACTTAAATAACATAATTAAGTTTTATAACTTTAAATAAAAATATTTATAGCTAATTAACAATAAATAATTTTACAGCTATGTAAATAGTCAAACTTAAAAACATTACTTGATTTATTTTTGCATCTGCATCTTTAACATCTTCACATGCTAATAAAATACTATATATAATAATCAACCCTGAGATAATCATGTCAAAGTATGATGAAGTCACCAATCTATGTAATATTTTTCGCAATCTAAAATCAAAACATTTTTAAAAGCAACAAAAAAACATGTCAATCAAAACTGTTTTAAACTATTTAATTTCTGTACTTTATTTAACTTACGGATTAGATGGCGAAAAAATAAATAGTGTTTTCTGTTTTAGTATTGGAGCTCTAAATGGCTGTGGAAGCATTCGAGCAGGGTTTTTAAGATTCTCTAAAATATTTTCACCAGGTTTTGCAGGAACTAAAAATTAATTAATAAATTATTGTTTTCATTTATATTACTATAATATGAATGTGAATATATACTATACATGAATGTGAGTATATAAATATAACATTTAAAAACAACCTAATAATGATTTCTATTACATATAAATTGAAAATCCAGCCTAAAATTTCACAAAGTTTCAAATGAAATATTAATTTCAATATGAGATTGTTAAAAACAAATAAACCTGCATACAGATCAATTATGTTATACAATTATGGCTAAAAAGATCTAAGAATAATTATTTATAAATGCAAAATAGTAACTATTTATAAATAAAAAATCATGCTTTGCACAGCTAATTACATAGTTATTAACCAATAGGAAAATATCTTATATGCTCTATATACATTAAAACCATGAGAAACTCCATCGTTATTATCTTTGGATTTGGTAACAACATCACTTAACAACAAAAATGCTAAAAGTGCATAAGTACGGCAAAACCATTTTTATTAACATAAATGTTTTTCTGTTATAACTATAAAACATTTTAGTTATTAGAATTTTTTTTTTTTTAGAATAATGACATCATATTACTATCAACCAAATTTTTATACAAAAGAAAAACTTCAGATTCTTACTAAAAAAAAACAGACATGACCCAGGTAATAACAGTTTTTTAAAAAAAGACATGACCCAGTTAATGATGGTTTAAAAAAAAAGCAGACATGACCCAGGTAATGACGGTTTTAAAAAAAACAGACATGACCCAGGTAATGACAGTTTTAAAAAAAACACAAAAAAAATCTGAAAAAAATAATATAAAAGGAATCAGAGTGCTTTTCAAAAAAATACAAGAGTGCTTTTCAAAAAAATACAGAGTGCTTTTCAAAAAAATACAAGGAAAGTAAATTCAAATAGCTTTTGATTATTTGATGACTATTCATTCAAAAAAACTCTTAAAGTTTCAGGCTTGAACCTGAAACTTTCAGGAGTTGGGCACTAAAATTAGACCTCGATTATGAGACAACAGGGCAATTTGCGATCAAGCAAATATTGGGAAGACTTTTTGACCTATAATTTGAATCAAAAAATTCAAAACTAGTTTTGGCGTCAACATTTATTTATATTCAGTTTCTGTAAAAAAAATTAAAAAATTAAAGAAGGGTGCTTTGGTAAACACATTCTGGAATCAGTTTAATTTTTTCAAATTTGAAATCAGTAGAACAATATTTGAAGCTTGTTATACATTTTTTCCAAAGTAATTAAAAAAATTTATTTTGTTAAAAACAAATTTAACATTGTTAAAAAATACTATTCTCTTTATAATATAAAACCAAATATTTTATATTTGGTTTTATATATAATTTATGATTGGTCAGAAATCTTGCTTAAAAAAAAAATTAAAAAAAAAAAAAAATAGCAAACAAACTTTGCAATTTTTATAATGGGAGCAGGTTAACCTTAGTGAAAACAAATCACCTAGGAGAAGAAAAAATCTGATATAAAACTTATGATTGTGGGTAGAGATAGAAGTATCTTTTAAGTTTTATATAATAATTAAATGTTAATAGTAATATGAAAATACAATAATCAGTCTTGATCTGAAAAACAGGTAAATGCCAGGAAGTTTGTTTCAACTCTTTTTTTATGTTACACAAGCCACATAACAAGGTGTTCAATAAAATTCTAGGAATAAACTGTTATTATTCTATAGATTTTAAAGCTACAGAAATTTATTTATATAGAGTAGTTATTTCTTTATCAGTTTCAATATTAAATTTGCTTCTATCAGTCTATTATTTATGATTTTGCCTACTTGAAGATAATTTGACTTGACTAGGTCTTTTACTAGGTTCTTGTCAACTTCTTGTCAACTTCCAGGAATTTATCTTAATACAAAACTGTTTAAGATTATTTGTCTTCCAGTTTTTTGCATACACCTTTATTTTTAGAATACTTTAACAACCCTCAATTGAACAACATTTTTATATGTTTGGTAGATTATCAATTTTGGCCACATAACTTATGGAATTTTTTTTCAAAGAGTGACATCACTATTTTGGCATGATGCAATGAATGCAGGTCAGGCCAAAATGAGTATTGGTCATAATTATAATATTCTATAATAAAAGACACTAATTGCTTCTTTATGCAACATTATAAGTAAAAACAAAAAAAAAGATTAAATGCAAGACATAGAATGCAAGACAAAAAATGCAGGACAAAGCACGGTTTGACATCCACTTATCAAAAAGTCACAACCAGTCAAGCATTTTTTGCATTTTTTTTTTTTTAACCATGCAGGATTTTTGCATGGATCACATCTTTGACAGATTCTTTCCTGCTGGTCATTATTTTGCATTGGTATCTTTTTTGTTCTATGGAAACTGATAGTCTGGTCTTTTTTTTTAAATTAGTAAATAATTAGTGATGCGCTGCATTTGAATATTTGAGTAACCTGTCTCTGAGAAACTCCATTATGATGATCAAACATAATTTTTAGGTAACTTTATTTATTTTTCTGTTTAGACGTTATTTTCTCAGAAATGTGTAACTTTTTTACAAAAATTAATATATATGTATAAAAAAAAATTAAATTTGTATGAAAAAAGATCAAAAAATAGATCAAAAACAAAAAAACTTGTGGATGTTTCTTTTTTAAACTTTAAACTTTTTACAGATTTTCAAAAGGCCCACACAAAAAATGTGCTATTTTAAGTTTTATTAAAAAGCTGAATATACTTTTGTAATATGATATCATTAAACCTTTTTTTTACATTTGAAGTTCTAAATAAAGATGCTTAATTTAAGCACACTTTAATTTAAAATTTAAATTAAAACATTAAATAAAAATGTGTGTAAAAAAAATGTAAATTATATGTATAGTGTAAAAATAAGAAATTGTGTAAAATTGGAGATTTTTTGATGAGGTTGATGCAAGTTATGTTTCATTTCCTTCATATTTAGATGTTTTTAAGAATTATTTGTGAATTTAAAAAAAATATTAAGTAAAACTTGCAGTAAAAATATTTTTTACGGTTAAAAAAAAAATACTGACTTAACCATTATTTAATAGTTCTTTAAAAAGTTGTTTATATCCAAATAGATGCTAACAATGCAACTTAATTTTTGCCATACCAAAGCCCATGAAGCACTATAGTCAAAGAAACTGCTCATTTTTTAAATTAATTTTTTAAAAGTTCTGGTTACAAACCCCCTCCTCCTTACTCTCAATTCTTCAAAAGTAAATTTTAAATTTATAATATTATGTATGTATAGTTCTTATTAATCATTATTTTTAATGAATAAAAATAAAAAATTATTACACATTTTTTAGGTCTCATCATATAAAATGTAACAAATGCATTAGGCTTTCTTTTTCTAATTGAACTATAATCTTTCATTTTTAGCAATAACTTTAATATATATATATATATATATATATATATATATATATATATATATATATATATATATATATATATATATATATATATATATATTAATTTACTACTTCTACCTGTTAAACAAACATCAAACTCGCCATTTAAATTTTCAGATTGAACTTCTATGTCCTAAATGTAATAAAAGGTTTTTAGTACAGAGCACTATAAGTTTTTTTGCATACATAGGCAGCTATACAGCTTTTTAAATATACAGACAGTTATTACAGAGACAGCTGATACAAGCTTTACTAAATATTTGGTAAAAAATACAGTAAAGCATAAATTTTTTGGTCAAATTTATTCACAAAAAAAATCAAAACATTAAAACTTTTGCAGAAAATTATTAAACTTGATAAATTTTAAGAAATCATAAAAGAAAAAATTATGAATAAATAATTTTCTTTGTATTATTAATAGTTTAGATTAACATATTTTTGTATGAATGCACATACATTGACTGAGGGTTCTGTGAAAGAATTTTTTTTTTTTTTTTTTTAATGAAACAAAATTAATTTTTTTTATAATTTTGAACTGAAAATTTGTTTTTAAAGACTGAATTGTATTTTTACGTTTGTTTTTGTTCTGAATATAAAGTGTTGTTTTGTTTTGCATTTAATTAAAAAAAAAAATGACAAAAAAATTGCTGGGAATTGGCCACAATACAGTTTTAAACTTTAAATGTTAACCTGGCTCACTTTGTTATCTCAAAATACCAAATAAAGCAAAAATTCTTGATAAAAGCAGTGAACTTGTACATTTTCTTTCTAAAAGCCAAAAGTTTACACAAAGTTCATGTCTACCAAATTTATTTTAACAATCCTTGAGTGTCAAATGGAACATGCTGTGTAGTGACAATGGTGTGTAATGACAATGGTAGTGCTGTATAGCTATGAGCATAAAAAAAGTTAGGTAAAGATGCACCCCTCTACACCACTACCTCTACACCTCTTACCAAACTATCAAGAAGTGAATATTCATTCAACTACAAGAGTTAAAATGTGGCTGTTAATTAGCACTAAATATATTTTGTTAAACATGTATTAAATATATTTGTATTAGTATGCAAAACTTTCTTTATTTTTAAATTTTTGATATAAATGTCATTTTATTATTTGACAAAAGTTATGTACTCTTGAACTTTAAAACATTAATGCGTGTTTAAAGCCATAATTTGGCTGTTTTGGGAAAAAAAAACTAAATAGCCCTCCACTAATTAACACTGCCTAAAAAGCCAAAAGAATGTTCAAAAAAAAAAACAATGTGCTATTTCATGATGGATAGAGATCTTCCTCAGAGTTTGACCAAAAAAATACTTTTAAAGAGTATGTTTAATGTAGCTACAAAAGATTATGTAGCAGTTGAAAAAGTAGATGGTTTTAGTGATTTCAAACATGATATTTTGTTTGTTACTTTAGACATATGTGATACAACCATAAGTGACACCTCAGATTTAAAACAGCTTTCAATACATTGCAATAACTTAGATGTACTGAGTAGAATTGTAATTAAGATATAAGATCAGACTAGATTCTTAAAGTTGGGTCAGATGAGGGTTATGGATTTTTAAAAATTTCTCTTGAAATTTCCAAATTAGAGATACAGAACACCGCTGCTTCATGATCTAACATATTTACACATTGACCTAGTATTTAACAGCTTTTAGCAAATATCTCAAAATCTACTTTTCTTTACTTAGGGTGTTAGTAATGCCTGTTCAGAGGAAAGCAAGTAACTTCTAAAAAGTTTTTCATGAACTTATTATTATGTAGTCATAATCTTATTTTAGAATCGAGCCATGGAGATTCACTTACTAATATACAAACATATTTTTATGTTAAAAACTTTGCCGAAAATAATTGCAGAATGCTTTTGAGAAATGTTGATTTCAACAGTTAGATGAAAAGCATGCTTGCTATTTGACATTTCTATTCATTGAAACATTTCAAAATCTTGATGCAGCAACTCATGCTTGCTTTGGAAACTTTCTTGAACATAATATTGTTTAAAGTTTGATAAATTCAAATGCTTCTACTCGAAACACTGTAACACAACCTCACCCAAAAATAGGCAACTGAACCAATGCATCACAACTTTGGCACCCATTTGCAATGCTACAAAAGATAAAATGGTTATCAAGACTATCCAAAAAAACTGCTTGATTGACTACAATGGCAAGCATTGTAAACAATAGATTTTGCATTAATTTTTTTTTTTTTTTTTGTGTGTGCAAGTTTATTATTTAAGCTTTTCTTATCAGATCTTTTTATCTAGAACGCAGTTAGAGTCTTTATGAAACATTTGGATGAAACAGTAGTCTTTTTTTCAAAGATTATTTATAGCTTATTATTTGAAAATAGAATTAAAGTTAAGAGTTATTAAATTGAAAATATTTTGTTTTGATTTTTAGTTTTTTTACTCAATAATGTATAATATCTTTTGTTAACTTAACCAATACTGCATCTTTTTTTTAAAATAAATTCATAATAAGAGCATTAAAACATTTTTTTTTTTTTTTTGCAAAACATAATTTAGATTTTAATTGTTTTCTATTTGTATTTAGAAAAATAAACTTTTCATATTTATAACCACTTTTTCTTTCACAGGCAAAATAGTCTGATTTTAAGAAAGGAGAATATTTTAACAACAGTCGCATCTCTTAAAAGAAATCATTTAAGAAAAAAGATTTACACAAAACAATAAAAAAATAAATATAAATGAAATTTATGGTAAATGTTAGTAATAAATAAACATATAGTTAAAGCTTGTTAAATAATACTTATATTATGTTTGTATATTAGTGAAGTAGATTGTAGATAAATAATTTTGTTGAAAGCCTTTTAACAGTATAGATATTTTGAACAGAAAATAAGAAAAATATATTTAAAACTTACAGATTGTATTCCTTCTTCAGAATAATGATCTCTAGAATATATATATATATATATATATATATATATATATATATATATATATATATATATATATATATATATATATATATATATATATATATATATATATATATATATATATATATATAGTAGTCTCCTCAACTATAGTGGCCTTTTCAGCCTTGAGGAAATTGAATTAAAAAAAAAAATTATATATATACACACAAATTTGTATATATAATATAAATATTATATATATATTTTTATATTTATATATTAAATACACACACATATATTATTTATATATATATATAT